CGGATCCTTGTCAGTTTCTCCTTGAATGCAAGGTAGGTTCTTTATGTTCTGAGGGGGATTGTTCCTCTGTTGTCCCAGCAAACGGACCTGGTGTGGAGGTATCGGCCAAATTTCGTAAGCCATCACACAAATGAAATCTATTCTTGAAGAAAAAATTCCGCCAGACATCTTCGAAGTGTTCTCGATAAGATCGAACAGATCATATGAAAAAAAAATAGAAAATTTCGAAATTCACCTCAAAAGTTCAACAATCTCAAACTCCAAACACATCAGATTAAAGGCTGTAAAGAAAATTGGTTCAGGATCATTTCTAAAATAAAAAAATTTAGATGCAATATCGAATTTCCTTTCGTTGTGACCAGAGTTTGGAATTGAAACTTCTGGCCATTTATTCAACTTGGTAGATATTTGACGGATGTCGACGATAATATCGATAAACCACCAGAAAAAACCAAAGATACGTTGAGAGCACGTGTCACCATCAAAATCACAAACTACTTACAATTCACCAAAACAACAACCGTTCTAACACATCACCAAATAATGTTTACTGAAACAATGAAAATTACTGAAATAGAACCCAGATCTGCATATCGTACTTGCAGATACGGGCGATTGTACAGTGACCATGGATAGAGAGAAATATAATAGAATCATACAATGACTTCTGAATGATTGTACCACATACAAGTGCCTGAAGCGTTATCCAACGAAAAAGACACAAAATTCACTGAACAAAATGATAAGATGTGCTGATAATTACCATTAAATAGGTGAGAGCACAGCAAAATATCGCACAATATACAGCTCTACAATGTCCAAGCAATATTGTTCATCACAAATAAATAAAAATAATTTACATCTTCATCCCATAGTTAGTTGTGTGGGTTAGACCACATATGGTTGAGTTAAGTTTTTGTCCAGTATTTTGTTTGAGGCCCCTGGTGACAGAACTGTGTACAACATCAAAGATATGTTTAGTTTTTTCAACAGCATGCAGTAAATAACTTTGCCAACAAGCTACGTTCTTACATCTTTAGGCGTCACACCCCAGTATACAAACATTACGTGTGAACTTGTGTACGAATTGCTGGTTCAATATAGGAAAATCATAATGTACTATACATCACTCACACAGAAAGTTTTTACCAATATGGTGATGTTTGTGTGTCAAATTACTTTGTGGAAAATACTATTTCACCTTTGATAGAAACATATACCAACAATTAATTCAATATGATACATCTAAGGGTGCTCCAGTCAGCCGAATATTACCGCAAATTTTGATGAATTATATTGTTGATCTAGCTTTACAGAAGCTCTCTTTACATTTGTCATTCATGTACTGATGAGTTGATGACTTGATTCTTACGCTCCCAAAAACTCAAAAACCGTATGTTCTTCGAGTATTCAATTCTATACATCCAAAAATCTGATTCACAATGGAGAAATAAAATAACGGAAATGTTCATTTCCTTGACATATTGTTGATGAGGAGAGGTGACAATACACTAATATTAGATCAATATCAGAACCTTCATTAACAGGGAGACATTAATTTTCTCTCCAACCACCCGAAAACTTGAAAATTCAACTTTTCACCAACGAGGAAAGTGGTAAATTGAGAAAACTCTACAGGATGTGTCTGAGTATACTGAATGAACTTTTTCACAACACAAGTCTGCTTGATGGGATAACGGACGAACAATACACCTAAGCATTCAAAAAACTAACGATTCTGGAACTTACTGACAAGGTTTTGAATCATCTCAAACCAATAGTGAACAACATAACCGACGCCATGTGCAATACCGTTCACAAAGATAGAGGCCAACTATAAAAAGTTCACAGTTGTTTAAAGAACAGACAAAGCAAACACTTAAACAGAAAATAACACAACATAAAAGTGACGTGAGAATCGGAAAAAGATCTTGGGCTTTGTCCTTCCATATGCGGGATAACCATCATCCTTTCGACTTCGAAAACGTCCAGATAATGAAAAGTGAAAGAAATATCAGAAAATGAAACTTTTTAGAGACGGTACACATCAATAGTAACCAAATAACATCAATTCAAAATCTGACGTGAACCAATCCAGTGAAATTTATTGTTGAAATTTGAATAAAAAAATTATTAATTTTCGCACTAGCATAACAATTCCACGGTGAGAATCAAAGCCGTCTGATGAAATTATTATTCCTCTGATAAAACTGCTTGATTTATATACGATCGATAGAGTGAATTATATTTTGAACACAATTTTCAAGAAACCTCTCATTGTGAGTTCTTATATTTGTTTTGTGAATATCCAATGATGGATACTATTTTTGATATTGAATATTAACAATTGCGCTGACATGAGCACGATGACCATAGTATTCATTTCCTTACACTGGATTCCCATATTTTTAGCAGCTATTAATAGCAACATTTTTGCTCACTTCAGGAAAGCAAAAACCGAGCGCCTACTCCCGCAACCTAGAAGACATTAAATCAGAAGTTCAACAAATTAGATTAAATCGTTCAAAAACTATAGTTTCTAAATGTAGTGTCTTAATTGACATGCACGTGTGAAACTTTAATGTAAGATGTATTCATATAACATCTACTGATTTGAGATGAATAGTAATCATCAGTGAAAATTGAGAATTGAAATACACTTCAAAAGTTTTGAATATATATATATATATATATATATATATATATATATATATATATATATATATATATATATATATATATATATATATATATATATATATATATATATATATATATATATATATATATATATATATATATATATATATATATATATATATATTAGAAGATGAACACTAGAACATTCATTTGAAAAATTCAAATTAATACCTACGGGTATAGAAGATATGTGGAATATAACTGATTTCTATACATAGAATTGTGGAGTATTCATTACTCTACGATCTTCCACTTGAAGCCACAAGGAGCTGCTTGGAGGTTGAAATCGTTGCCTCACTTCGATGGACGTGGTGCGACTGACGAGTTCCTTGCAGAACGAAACATATATGTCACGCACTTCCATCAGGTGTGGCATCGATTTCAATATTTCTCTAACATTTATCCCTTGAAGGATAATGGAGACATCAGATCGTACACGTTCACATATCTAGCTCTACTATAACATTCTCTTGATTAATTTGAATTTTTCAAATGAATGTTCTAGTGTTCATCTTCTTAAATATTTCATTCAGTGCCATAAGCACAAAAAAATTTATATATAATATATTAAAATAAATTAAAAGTTTCACGAAAAAAATTAAAAAGTTAGTTTAATTTATTTTAATATTCACTATTATTGTTTCACCAAGTTTCACCAAGAGTTAAGCGAGAATTCAATCTCATTAATATATTTATATATATATATATATATATATATATATATATATATATATATATATATATATAAAATACTCAAAACAATTAATTCATAATATCCTTGATTCAATTCTCATTGAATATAGCGATAAGATTCAGTTCGATCGTTTCTTGAAATGATCAAATCAGATGCCAAAGCAACCGCTCAATCTAACCCAGATCTGAGGTGCATGAACAGATGGAAATATACTTCGTCGATTCTTAATATAACTCTCACGCTGGTTTCGTGACAAAATAGATACCGACCGCTATCTATAATTGTATGTTTGGCTGCTTCCTACTCGATATTATTTTGAAAGTAAATTTTTACTGACTGTTATCAAATAACTCTGAAGAGTTCAGTATCCCTCGAGGAACCATTTGGTTATTTCTTGTTGAGAACATTGTTAGCCCATTTGAAAACGTAGAGATATCTTCAATGATAAGCAATCTAAAGACTATTATGAATGACATTACTGAACTGAAGCTTTCATTGGTTTTTATAAGTAGATAATTTATTATAAATATTAACTTATAACTAAGTTTAAATGTTTTTTATGAGAGTAACAATTTCATGAAATTATAGTAACTTTATGTTCACCCCATCGACTTTGGAGTTTCTAAATATTCATCAGAAAATATTTATATAGCTATATTTTCGACTTAAATTCAATTTGGTCATCCGGTGTGTAAGTTCATTATAGATGTCAAGAAAACGTTTAGTTTAGAATTAAGTTTGTATTGATTTATCTTTATTTACGGTATATAATTTTTTGTCATATTCATATTCTTTTTTGTAGTGATAATTGTCAGTATTGCAATATGAAAATAGAAGAAAATGGAGAAGATAACTATTTGAAATATGCTTTGATTGATAACTGGATCAAAAGTTTGGAATTAACAAGAATCAGCGGTGCTCATATCTTTTAGAAAAAGAGTACGATTTGTTCATGTGAATGAAGAAGAAAAATCATTCAAAAATCCTCGTGGAGCAGGTCATATAACATATTTCAGATATAACTGGTCATGATAATACCACGAATGAAAGATTGACCTCACCGTCTTTTAGGAAACCAAAGCACCCTAAGGTATGAGGAATTCTTTCGTGAGTAATCTAATTAGGAAAATAATTTCCTATGCTTGTTGAGATCACGGAAATCGCAGTGAGTTTCAGTGAAAGCGAAGACGAAATGGGGGATAATGCAATTTCATATCATATCAATTTTTGAATGAAAAAAACTCAATGTGTATTGATATGTTTATGTACTGAACAAACACATTGAAAATGAAGAACACTTGCTTCTTTGAGGCTAATAGCAATAAAAATGGTATTGTCCCTTCAGTAGCTAGAAAATATTCTTCACTCACAAGTTTGGGTGGAGTTACGGAATATCTCACTTTTCTGACGTTGTACTCATCCATATACTATTCCAAAATTAACCTCATGGAGAAAAAGCCCAGAATCTCCTATTTTCCGGCTTCTTTCATCTTCACTCTACTTCAGTTAAGGACCTTCTAAATTACTCAGATTGTGAACAGTCTCAGCCAGCATAATAATTTCAATATCTCGTCGAATCCATTCAATTAATTTGTCATTTTCTCTAGTCTCCGTGGTTTAGTCGGGAAAACACCCGATTGAGGTGCGGTAGAATCCGGGTTCGAGTCCCGGTGAAGGCATGGGAGTTTCTGTTTGTCTATGATGGAAGCAGTTTGATAAATGATGAATTTTTGGTTAATTTACGCCTTTCATTACATAACCCACGGCATTGTACTGAAAAATGATAATATCATTATATCAGCTCAAAGCAGACCACTAAATCAATTCAAGTAAGATTGTTCATATAAACTTATTAACGCCGGAGCCCGAAGACTAGAAGTTGACGATCTTAACGGAACACACACAAACTGGAACTGTAGGAGAAATAGCACGAATGGGAATACTCTCCACGAATTCCCAATTGAAAATGACGAACGTGCACTTCTATTCACTGAAGAACCAAATTTGATACGGAGAATAATGAGCTAAAAAACAGATTGCAAAAAACGATAAAGAATATCCGCCTGGGAGAAATTACGAGACGGATATTCTAAGCTTGATTGAAACTGAGAAACGAATATAGAAAACATTGGCAACATCATCTCAATTTACACAGCAAATATTCAATGAAAGAACTAACTCAAACGTCAAACCCTCAATAAAAGAAAACAGAAACCAAATATAGATTTAAAAGTTGAGCAAAATCCATAACAATATTTCGAAACTTCACAAATCGAATAAGTTTCCCACGTCTTTGAGATGAGTTTGAACCCTCCTAGTAACGGTATGCCTGAATGACCAAAAATCCTTATAGTGATGAGTCATATTAGGATAAGTACGGTAACCTTGGCATGTCACGCATCAGCCCTGCACGCTTCCAACCTCTCTTTTTTTGATAGTGAAGATAAGATTTGAAAAAAAAATTCAAAAAAATCGACAAACGTTTTCGATACGCTAATGTATGTGAACCGAAAGCTGTGTAGTAGGTACATAAATTGAAGCGATTTGAAGAATGAAACAAATGTACAATGACAGGTGGTTATGGACTAGCATAAGTCTTTAATAGGTAAGGGAGGGATGTTGAACGAGTGTAAGAGGCGTGGCATGTAAACTCATATCGTTCATGCATATTCATCATGCATATTACATCATGAAAAAATAGTAGATATGGACAAAACAAAATTTATAATTTATGATGAAATGAACATAAATCTTTAAATTAATCTGAATAATCATCAGATAGGTTACGATTTATTTCTTCATAATCATATGATTCTTCATTACTGATTTCATTATCTAAAAAGAGAGAAAGTTTCAATATAACATAAATTATAACTTAACTTATAACATATAAGTTACAATATAATATAAATATAAATATATCAATCTTAATATAACATCTCGAATTTTACTCTCACATATATGGAATTCCGTATTTTTTTATGGAATGAAATAGTTGTGTTTTACTGTTTATCTCTTCTTAAGCTTCATCTCATGGTCTCCAGCATTAGTAAATTGTTGTATTGATATTGCAGTTCCTGTTGAAATGGAAGTGAATTTGAGGAATCATATCCATTTAATTTTTCATGAAAAAGACCTGAATTATTTTTCCCATAAACACATCAGTGCACACGTTTTATATATGGCGAGAAAGTTTCCATTACGTAAAATAGAGTGATATCAATATATCTAGAGTGATAAGAATATCAACAATAACTTGAGTTAATATTGCTATTACTCTTGATAAAAGGCCAACCAATCGAAACATATGTAGAGCTTCAACATATGTTTCACCAAGTGATAACCGAAACTTTCGTCAACTTTTTAAGTATTGGAAAAATAGCATCTTTTCTATCTTGGACTAGGGTTGATAAGCTATGAAACGAAAAAAAATTATGGTGAAATGAAACACATTAAAAAAGATGGAAATTATGACAAAAATGTAATGTAAATCTAAGTTCTGGAAAGGAAAGAGGTTGTGTTTTTCAATCTGGAAAACGGTTTATCGCGATTTCTGGAAAAACTGGGAGTGCCATAAAAAAATCTAGAGCAAAGGTGTAGTTGATAAAAAGCTCTACAACTTTTTTATTCACAACATCTTGACATAACATAAAATTTTATGTAAAATATTGAAATAACCCAGTTTTTGGTTTTTTATTTTTCACAGAAATTTTTTTTTCCTACGAAATTTTGTGAAAACTACAATTTTCATGTCCCAAACACAACATAAGGTTTTTGATTCCAAATATCAATTTTTTTACTAATTCCTATACAATATCAAAAAATCAACCTAATTTTCAATAAAAAATTCGCACGTCAGGATATCTGCTTCTCAAAAAAGTCGAAAAATTTGAGATAGAAGGTAGCAATTTAGCATTGAAATGCATATATTCTCAACATCATCAGAAAGTAGAGATTTCAACTTCCATAAAGCCCACAGACATCTTTTGAAAGGTATATATTCTGAACCAAAAAAACAACATTGTGTTTGTAATGTGAAAAGGTGTTTCCACCAAATTTTGCGAGAAATTTTTTTTCTAAAAGATAGGACTAGAAACGAAAAAGTTGTTAAGTTGAATATTTCACATAAAGTTTCAGGTAATATGAAAAGATTGTGAAAACAAATGTTGGATTTATATCTTTTCATTAGCTACAACTCTGTCATTCAACTTTTTTCCATAGGACTTGTAGTTTTGCCGAGAACCGAAATAAACCGTTTCAAACCCTTAAAAACTCAATACTTTCAACTCGCGTTCAGATCTCCCTCAAAATGTTTTACGGAGGATTTTTCACTATGTTTCTAATTGGTTTGAATTAATATGTTTTAATTTTATCGCTTCCCTCTCTATTTTCGAAATATTATCACAACAGCCTACTAATACTGCTGCAAATGATACAAGTGAAGCTGACGAACACATTAGCGGTAACAGACAACTATTCTATTTCATAGACATATACAAAATTCCATATAATTGACCGTAACGTCCGACATTCAATGTTATTATCAATATATTCAAACTTTTTTTTTAATATGAAATCGAAAACTTATATTCATTTCATCATCACTACCTACTTCGAATCGCTCAGAGAAACACATATATAAATTTCAACTGCAAGTAATGAAGTTCATTTCATTTGAGATACTACACACCTCACACCTTTATCTGGTTCACCTCATAGGTACTTGCGCTCATCGAAAACGCCTGTGAATTATTTCTTGAACTTCTCAATGAATGGAAAGAAAGTTGTATGAAAATTGCAAGCTTACAGTAACAAGTTTTTTTTTCAGTTTTTTACTACATTTTCATAAATATAGGTTCTGAACATGTGATTGGCGATAGTTACCGTACTCAATATGCTATAACTCTCACTATAACAATATTAAGCCTTACAGGCATGCCCCTACTCGAAGGGTTCTCTAGCTGTTGGTCTAATATTTCAACTTAAATAAATTTTGAGTGAACATGTATAGGCAGAATGAAGTTTTGCTCACCTGAGATGAATTTAATAACCACTGTTTGCTATTCTGCTCAGTCATCTTAATGCAGAGTATATAAAGTTCAGTCGAGTATTCTATTTTCTTTAGTGATGAAAGGAATTTTTATACCGGTTGTTTCAAACCGGTGACTTGATGGTCACCCTTACTATTTGTGACCATATTTTCTGCCGAGCTGTGAATTCCTTTGCTATTTTAAGGATCTCTGATTCTGATTGAACCATCACGTAGTACTCTAATCTTTGATATTCTTACTAGATTACTTATGTTCATCTTATCTGTTGTTACCATTGACGGATAAGTTTTGGGATTTCGATATGGATATCATTCATTCTCAATAATTTCACTTCAATTTTCTCATGAGTTTTTGTTTTCAGTCTGAAATCGACTATTCCACTTACCGTCACCACCCGCCCTTAAATGCTCTTGTTTAATGTTCGTTTCGCGTTTTAATAATAATAATAGGTTCTTTATTCTCAACAGTTATGATACCCAATTACAGAAAATAATAACATAGTGCTAAACACTAACTAAATAATTGAAATGAAAAACATATAACAAAGAGCTCAATCTAATCTGAAAAAATAGTAACTAATAACTACATTATAGCATTCAATGAAATATCACAAAGAACTCAATCTAAATCAATTCATTTCAGTTCAGTTTCTTTATTCACATAACTCCTAATAATAACTTCTATGAACTCAAAGTAAATGTCACAATTGTTGGTGACTATATTGAATCCATAAACCTATAGACTCCATAAACCAAATAAGGGAATGTATTTGGGAGTTGGTCCTCGGAATCCATATAGTTTCGAGGCAGATGAAATGAGTTGGATAATGTGTGGGACAAAGGAAAGCTTCTGGTCGAAGACTGCACTAAGAACTCTCACCTTATCAGAACGAGAAAACCTTACCAGCGACGATATAATCACAGTCAATTCGGTCTGAAAGCGGCGACATTATACTTTGACACATTCAAACTCAAATAATTGTCCTCACACCAACTAGCAACATGGTCCAGCGCGAGCTGAAGTTGAACACAGTTGTCCTTATATGTAATTTCACGATAAATTTTCAAATCGTCTGCGAACATCAAATGTGGAGCGTATCCATTAGATCATTTACGAACAGAATAAATAATAGTGGACCAAGAAGAGACCCTTGAGGTATTCCAAACGTAGGTATGAACTCAAACGACTGTATACCCTCCAGCTGTAAGAATTGACGTCGGTCAACCAGGTAAAAATGAAAAAGGTTGGTGGGGCTAAAATAGAATCCAAATTTGTTGCGTAATTTCTGTACCAGGGGCGCATAAGAAACTTCATCAAATGCTTTCTCAAAATTTGTGTAAATCTCAATAACTTCACCGGTGGAGTCGAGTAAATCAGAAAAGTACTGAAAAAACAGCATGAGATTACTTGAACAAGATCTCATTGACATGAATTTCAATGTTGCTCAGTATTGATGCTGTTTCTAACGGCTGGATGTATAGCATTATAGACTACAATTTCAAAAAGTTCGGAAAAGTTTGTTAAGATGTATATTCATCCGTAGTTGTTCACAACAGATGAATCACCTTTTATCAAGACAGGAACTTTCTTGGCCGATTTCCATGTTTTAGGAGAAGTGGCTTTGCTTA